TCTCAGCCAGGGGGTGGGGTGTCTGCTGGGAAGGGGGAGGCTTCCCCGGGAAAATGGGGATTGTCTGGCCAAAAGCAGGGCAAACGTCCTTTTCCATCCGAACACGAAGCGTTCGTGGAGCCGGGCGAGCGACGAGCAAGCGGCTGGCAGGGCCATGGGCGAAGCGGGTGGCAGCGCGGTGGGTCGGCGGCGGGCACCGCGCGTGTCCTCCTCCTGCGGCGTGGGGGCGCGGGTCTCGGAGCGGCTCTCCCCGCGTTTCGCCGCCTGTCGGGAGAGAACAGGGCAGGGTGAGCCGGTCGCTTCGTGCCAGGCCCGCGCTGGAACGGGGAGACCGAGGCGTGAGGGGTGGGGAGCCAGGGGACTCGCCACTCTTGTCCATGTGCGGAATAAGTGTTATGTGGCCCGCGGCAGTGCGCGTGTGCACCACCCACAGAGACAACACCCGCCACTCGAGCTGGGGGCCTGTGCTCATCAGCCGGGCGGCGCTGGACTTTCCTGAGTGGCCCACGGGCACCCGGGGACCCGGCCCGGCCGACGAGTGGCGCGAGGGATCACTAGCGGCTCTGGGGTTGGGTGTGGGGCAGGCGCGTGGGGCCAGGGAAACGTGCAGGACGGTGCCTAGGTCTGGGGGGAGGGATGGACAGACGGAGAGGACGGCCGGGCCGGGAGGCAGAGAAGCAGCTGGGTTCTGCCGAGAGAAGGGGGGGGAGAGGGCAGGGCGACGGAGGAGGCTGCCCGGGCTACACTGGCCCCCACTCACCTTATCTCTTCCACTGGGAGAGGGTGAGGAGCAGGTTGATGGCCACGGTTTTCACGAAAACGATTCTCAGGCCCAGCAGGGTGAGCGACAGGAAGTTCAGGTTCTTATCTGTAAAGCAAGGGGAACACAGGGCACCCCCTCTCTCTCACTCCCTCGGCCCCCAGCCCCCAGCCCCAGCCGCAGCCCTTCGCCTCGGCAATTTCATGCTGTGGAGAGTTCCGCGGGTTAAAGGCGTCCTCGTCCCAGTCCTGGCTGGGCCCTGGGTCCTCACCTGTTTCGAAGTTCTCGTCCATCTCCACGATCATGCAGGTGTCATCTGCAAAGACACGTTCCCATCAGCCATTCGTCGGAATCAGCCGGAAACGTTTAGGAACCCGCCAGCCCTGCCCGGCTCTGTGCCTGGGTCACAGCGGCTGTGCCCCGGGGCCGGCTGAGAACAGGCCCCGCTGTCCTCGGGCAGGCACAGGGCTGGGCTCCCAGGCCTCCAGGCTAGAAGGAGCCGGCAGAGGGGAGCTGGGCCAAAGCAAAGGACAGGCTGGGGCGGAGCCTCCCCCAGGCTCTCAAGGGGCTGCAGGCAGAATCCAGCTCCACCTGGGGATTTCGCCCCCGCCTTGAATCTTCTCCCAGCCCCGGTTCTGGGGGTTTTCTGTAAGCAAGCCGCCTCCCCTGTCGCTAGCTCCTCGGGGCTCTCGCTGCACGGGGCCAACTCATTTCTGTGCGTCTCCGCACCCTGGGGAAATACGGAACTGGCCCCCAGGCCCGACCCACACGCCCGTCTGTATCTCTAAGGGCGGTGCGGGCCCTTGGCCTGCCCTAGGTCCCGGGCCTGAGAGCACCACGGCCGTTCTCTGGACCCATGGGGCCATGCACCTCCCATGGCCCGGAATGTCTATAAAACCCAGAGTGGTGTGGAGAGGGTGAACAAAGAAACTTTACTGACTTGTTCCCACAACAGAAGAACTAGAGGCCACCAAATGAAATGAATGGGCAGCAGGTTTAAAACAAACCAAAGAAAGTTCTTCACACAGCGCATAGTCAACCTGTGGAACTCCTCGCCGGAAGAGGCTGTGAAGGCTAGAACTAGAACAGAGTTTCAAGAGAAGCTGGATAATTTCATGGAGGTTAGGTCCATAAAAGGCTGTTAGCCAGGGGATAGAATTGGTGTCCTTGGCCTCTGTTTGTCAGAGGCTGGAGGAGGGATGGCAGGAGACAAATCGCTTGATCATTGTCTTCGCTCCACCCCTCTGGGGCACCTGGCGCTGGCCACTGTCGGTAGACAGGCTACTGGGCTAGACGGACCTTTGGTCTGACCCCGTACGGCCATTCTTATGTTCTAATGGGGCCTGGCTCCCCAGCGAATACTTCCAGCTCTGGCCTGTCCATAGACGGGACCAGGCTCCAGCCCCTGGCTCTGGGGGTCGTGTGCTCCGGGGGGGCCCAGGGCAGCCCTGAGGCCGGAGGGAAATGCTCCTGGCCCCAGGACCCCACCCCGGGCTGCCGTCAGGGTGCCCCAGGGAGCGAACAGACCAGGGAATCCTCAAGCGATCCCGCCCCCATCGCCCATTCCCAGCCCTGGCTAACAGAGGCCAGGGACACCATCCTGGCTGACAGCCATCGAGGGACCCAACCTCCATGAATCTACCGAGCTCCTTTTTGAACCCTGTTCAAGTCCTGGCTTTGACCACATCCTCTGGCGAGGAGTTCCGCAGGTTGGCTGTGTGCTGCATGAAGAACAACTTCCCTTGGTTTGCTGGAAACCTGCTGCCTGTTGATTTCATTGGGTGGCCCCTCGTTCTTCTGTGGAGGGAACAAGTCCGTTTCCTTCTTCACTTTCCCCACCCCAGTCGTGATTTGACAACCGCGATCCCCTCCCCCTTCGTCTCCCCTTGTGTAAGCAGACAAGTCCCCGTCTCATTAATCTCCTCACACGACAGTCCCTGAGGATTCCCCCTCAGCGACCCCGCGGGAGCTGGCCGGCTCCTTTCGGCCGCTCCGGAAAATAGCAGCGATTGGTCTCCGGCCCCGCCCTCCCCGCCGCCAAACGGCTCCGTAGCTCCCCCGTGTCGGGGGGTCCTTGGCCGCTGCCCCCGGGCGCCCACCCCCCCCCACAACTCACCTTCCTCGTCGAAGTCTGTCAACTGAAAGTTTTGGTTGTCATGGTCAGCGGTGCAGGCCAGCTCGTCCCTGGGCCCCCAGAGCACCGTCCCGTAGCTCGCTTCCCCAGAGCCCTTCATCACCACGAGGGAGGCATTGAGGGATGTGAGTTTGGCATTGTGTCTGCTCCCAACCGAGATGTTGCCGGGGAAGAAGTCTGTGACCAGGCAGGCCAACAGATTCTTGTTGTCCGACGTCAGAGGGTAGATGCTGGGTGGAGAGTTGTCGAGCTCTGTGGAAGGGAAAAGCCGGAGAGCCGGGCTCAGGCATCGTGTCACTGGAGGCCTTGTCCACATTGGCACCGTGTGGGGCCAAACCAGGGGGAGCGGCAAAGCTCGGGGTCCTGGCTTGTCGGCCCGTCGCTAGCAGCCGCCCGGCCTGTGCCTGGTCTCTGCAGCCCCCCGGGGTGCCCCGAATGTGGCTTTCCCGTAGCGAACGTGCCAGGCTGTGACGCGGCGACCCGGAGCGCTGT